GTGATGATGATTCTGTAGAACTCACCCTCATGGGCCGCTGTTGGGGTAGTGGGAGCGTCTCTATGTTTCTCTACGTGTTCCATAAGTTTATCCCATTTTGCTGGATCAACCGGTGCTAAAGGATCATATATTGCTGGTGAAGGTAATAACTTATTCCTCATGCACGTCGTTACATTGTCTCCAATCTGAGGAAAAACTGGTGCTGGAGGAGCATTATCAGAGAGTTGCAATGCAGACCCATTTGCAGATAACTGAACATTTTTCTCCCGACATTCTTTTATTCTTTCGGATCTGATCCTATTCTCTTCATCCTCATCAGACTCCGGAAGCACTTCGTCTCGTGTTGCGAGAAATTCGTCAGTAATATCCGCAAGCTCACTGTCGGCTTGAATCTGGTTCAGCTGAGGTACAACTACTGTTATTAAACCGCGACGCGTCCTTTTTGCGACCGGATTCTGTAACTCAGCCATTTCTTTCTTCTTCAACTCAACCGCCTTCTTTTCGTCAGCCATTTCTTTCTTCTTCAACTCAGCCGCCTTCTTTTTGTCAGCCTTCCGTTGCCTTGTCTCAGCCGCTTTTTTTCTCCTTTTTTCAGCCGCTTCCTTCTTCTTTAACACAGCCTCTTCTTCCCTACTTACAGCCGTTAAGTTATTCTTAGGAGACACATCCTTCTTTCCTAACTCAGCCGCCTCTTTGTCCTTCTCTCTAACCTCATTTCCTTTTTTAAACCTTATTATCTTGTGCCCGCTTTCTAAGGCTGGGTCCTTTGCAGGAGAAATACCAACGAAATCAACTGTGTCTCCCAAATTCTTAGCAGGTGTACTATGGACAGAGGCCTTAGCAGGTGGACTATTGACTGACTGCTGCGGAAAAAAGTTCGGCGGTGGCGGTGGTGGCGGTGGTGCTGGCAACGTTAAAGATTGTTGGGGAACTTTAGAGAAGTACTCGTCCACTGCAACTCTGACTAAATCAGGAATGTTCGTATAACTGGACTCGATTCTGGATAACCGCGCGTCGAAGTTTTCAAAGTTGTTCTCGTGGCTGTCTATTTTTGAGACAATTCTATCCAGACTACACATTATTTTCACCAGTATCGGATTTTCTCCAATATCATCATTACCTTCCTTCTCGTAAGCACCCTTTCCCTCCACAGCAGCTTCATCCTCTTGGAAGCTGCTCACTTTCTTCTGCTTCTTAATGGGTGGCTCAGCCTTTGACGAAACACCAAAAACCTTTGTGTTTGTTTGTTTGTTTGCGTTTCATCTGTGTTCCCCAAAAACCTCTAACAAACCGACCTGCATATATGTCTGTTATCAAGTTAACGAGTTGCGGGTCATCTGCTTCATCTGGCCACTGAGGAAACATCTCTTCTACGGAGTTCTTCATAACCATTTTTCTCACGTGCACCTACAAGATCAGCCACCAAATACATAATAACTCAGCTGTCAAAGTACTAATAACTCAGCCACAAAGTACCAAAAACCCAGCTACCATGCCACCATATAAACACTATCTCAGCCATCAAATAACTAATATCAAGAAACCCAGCCACTATGTACATACTAACTCAGCCATCAAAACTAATACCAAGAGGCTGAGATATTGTTTATATGGTGGCTGGGTTTTTGGTGTTCATAAAACAACTAATAACTCAGCCATAAAATAACTAATAACTTAGACACTTTATACATGCTAACTCAGCCATCAAATAACTAATACCAAAAACCCTAGCCACTTAAGTACATAAGTACTTATAACCCAGCCAACAAATAAATAATAAATCAGTTGACACCTTACCTCGTCATGTTTTCTAATCTCCTCAGTAATGACAGTATCAAAACTTGAACATGTACGCTTTCCACCCCATCGAAAAAGTGGAACTTCTTGCTCATTGACCACTCTCCCAAAACACTCTCCAAAACAAATGACAGATTCATACGCCCAAACCAACAACACGTCCTTCAGACCGCTTATGGTGTATGTCCTTCCTTGTGGATTCAACATCTTAATAGAGTCAACAAGAACTTCATATGCAGTCCTCCCCAATGGATACGTCATCATGGCTTCATCGTCGAATACTCTTTTTGCACTTTCAAACGGTATCCTAGAATTATGATGCAAAGCATAAAGTCCCATGGCTTGAAGAAGTAACAACCCTAACCATTTACGCTTTTCAAAACTCCAGGCCGGACATACCTCTAATGCTGCCCTCAGTTCATCTAACTTGGGTCCCACCCCAAGCAGCATATTCAACTCCTCCCAAAATGCTTTGTATTGGTCATGTTCAAAACTTTCTGTTGGTACTGGATCTGTGTTTAACCCAGTGATCTCACCAAATTGGAGTAAGCTAAACCTGATAGGTTCATCACCAACTAGACTCCAAATCTCCTTCAAGTATACTCGAAGTTGTCGACATAGTAGATAGTGGACAGTCCTACCAGACCACACACTTTTGCGTTCAGCTAGCTTCACAATAATTCCAAGAGGACCCTGCCTCATGTGATCCCACACATCCCGTCCTATTGCTTCTCTGACGTTAGGGAAATCTCCCATCTGCAAATTGTGATTAATCTCTTTATTTTCTAGATTAGAAGCCCCTTCAGCGTAAAGTCGTGGAGGATAATCCTGTGCTTGATCTTCAGAAATAGCCATCTGATCCTAAAACACATATACAGATAAATCAGCCGCAATAGAAACAAAACTCAGCAACAACATAATAAATAACCCAGCCACCATATCAATAACTCAGCCAAAAAATAATCAATAACTCAGCCAAATCATAAATAATAAATAATTCAGCCACAACATAATATATAACTCAGCCACAGTAATCAATAACTCAGCCAAAACATAATCAATAACTCAGTCGGATCATAATCAATAACTCAACCACTTCATAAGTCAAACTCAACTCAGCCACACTATACAATAACTCAGTAACAAAATAATCTATAACTCAGACACGTCGTAAATCAAACTCAGGCACAACATACCAGAGAAGATGAGAAGATGATGTCGTAGATATGATTACGTCGAAACTTTTGCGGAGATGAGGATGTCGACGAAGATGATATCGGAGACGGTTAGGGTTTAACGAGGTCGACGAAGATGATTTACGATATCGGAAACACTGTTTGAAACGAGAGTATTAGTTGTGACGAAGATGATTTCGTGATTTCGTGATTTCGTAATCGGTTAGGGTTTAACGAAAGTTGTGACAGAGAAGAATGTGACATTAAGACTTTTTTTTGTTCACCGGAGATATGGGACTGTTGATTTTCCAGTGTAACTGTTGATGACACAAATTAATTAGTGACGTGGATTGTCAAAATTATGATGTGGATTTAATAATTAAAATTTGTATCAATAGTAACAAAATTAAGCAAGGGTGTTTATTGTAATTTATTAGGAGTCTAAAAACATTCTAGTAATTTTTAGAAAATGTATACTATTCTAATCATATACAAGCTTTTGTGTATCATTCTTGTAATTTTCCCTTATTCTTTTAGTTATGTTTTTTTTGTTTTTGTTCCAGCTCCCCCCTCTCTCGTTAGCTCCAAGGCGTCTTTTATACGAGATATGCGGAGAACAAGCCTTTGATTCTTTGACTCATTCTTCACCCAAAGAACCTCGAGCTATATGGGCCGACGTTGCAGTACAAGTTCTCATGGGTCTGTTAAGCTCGACTCGAGATAGTCATTGAACGGTTTTCTTATTCTTTTGGCGGGAAGGATTTAGTGCTAAATTTGGTATCAACAATCGTGACAAAAAAAGATATAATTGTAACCATTAACCAAAAAAATATATAGTTGTAAGTTGTAACCAATAATAGCTAGTAATAAATAATGTTACACTGGTTATTCTATTCATATCTAATTATCTACACCATTTCAAATTTGATTAATAGAATATATGTTTTTTTTTTAGGGAAGAAAATTAGAATGACTCAAATTTATGGTGATATTACTAAAATGACTCATATTTTTTTTCAAATTATTAGAATGTTTTCGTGGTCAGAATTACCCCTGCCGTACAACAGAGTTGTTAAAAATGTCTATCGTATGACACAACAGATTTGTCTATATTTTTTCTGATTTGTATTAAAAAAACGATTTCTTAAATATGTCTGTCGGATGACACAACAGATTTGTATCAAACCACAGATTTGTGCGATCGACTTATTTTCGAAAGGCAGACTTGTTGAGTTATGACCGATTTGTATAGAAAATCTATTCTTCCTACGGTAGACTTAAGGCAAATCTATCACAGATTTACAAATGCTGTAGACNTTTTATGTTGAATCTAATTTATTTTCTCTTTTATGTTTAATGTTTTTTTTTCCTCGTAAACTTTTTTTTTGGATTGCACACATTAAAAGGGTATTTTAGTCCATTTGCTTGTTACAAAATAGGGTCTAGTATTTAAAATTTTATATGAGTCATTCTAGTCATTTTAAGATCAATTTGGGTCATTCCAAGTAATTCCTCTTTTTTTTAAACTGAAAATAAAAGCTAGGTGATAAACAATGTTCCTTAAGAACATCTCAAGTGGTCGTACTTTAGATAGACTTCTCATGATTAAAATAACAAAAAAAAAAAAAGAAAGTGAGAGAATGAGGATGAATTCTAAAATGAGACATTTTGAGAAACTCATAGAACTCTTGATACCTTATCTTTTGCGTATTGGTTTATTTTTCATTTTCAAATAAAACTTAAGTATCAAACAAAATGAATATTGATATATTTTTTTGTTTGCAATATCCAATGGGTTTTTTACCAATAAGGTTGCTCTTGATAAACAATGTTCTTACAGCACGAATAGAAGATGGTATAGTTCCTTGCCACATGAGAATTTCAATGCTCTTATAGCTAGCTAGGATTTATCCTGATTGGATTGTAAGAGACAGAAACCATTAGGACAAGACACGAAGAGATGTAGGTAGTTAACTGTGTCGTGTGTGCGTATATAGGTAAACCCAATCTAAATACACGAGAAGAATGTCAGATTTTGGGGGTATAGTGGGTATACTTCCATGAACTCTGGCATTTTGCATGGGAGCTCCACTTGGTGTTGACATGTGAGGCTTTGTAGCGTCTCCAGTCACGAAGAACAAGAGCGAGATCAAAGACCTTGGCAGAGATGTGACGGCAGCAGTTGGCGTGGACGGTGGTGACAGCGCCCATATCAGTGCTATCTTGGCAGAAACCGCTGAAGTGGGTGGTGTTGAGGAAACCAATAGTGAGACCGATCTGGTTGAAGAAACCTGAGTCGAGGAGCTTCTTGAGGACGTCTTGTTCCTTCATGCCTGTCGAGTTGAGTCTCATGTCATACCATTTCTGGAAAAGAGAGATGGTCCTATTGTTGGAACGGACGTAGTAAAAGCCAGTGTTTATCAAGTTTCCTCCTCCGCCTTTGTCCACGCTTATCTGCATGTCAAGAGTCCGGTTGTTGCTTAGCCGGGAGAAGGGGCTCCTTAGCCACATCAAATCAGTGTCCTAACAAATTGATATAAAACAAAGTTTTTTTATAATTTACAATATCATAATTAACAAATAAAAGAAACATAAGGTTGTGAAACCCTAAACTGTGTAGTGTTTTTATATTTTTATATTCCAAAACCGACTCTGACTAACCGTAAAAATGAGATGGTAGCCACGGCTGAGGACGTCTAGAAGCAAGCGAGTCCTCCGCCACATCATCTCAATGAAATCGTTTGACATGTATACTTTCTCTCCTTGCAAGTCAACTCCCTCTGTCTCCATCTTGTAGCAGTGTAGCCTCCTGAAGCGGCAGCGAACGTAGGCTGTCTGATCCGCTGCCACCACCATCAGATGGTCCAGAAGTGGCAAAGTACCCTCTCCTTCCCAGAAACTCTCTAGAAACAGATCCAACATCGTCCTCCCTCCTTCAACCTCCTCCACGTACGCTTTGTTCACCATCGTTATTATCACCGTCTTGTTTGTTGAATCTGAGTTTTGTACGGTCGATTGACTAAAAAACTAAACTCGATTTGTGGGTTCTTCGAAGGCGTTTTATTAATCAGAGTTGATATCAAGAGGAGATTACAGAAAGATTCGAGAAAAGAACAAAGGTCGGAGCTTTATGAAAGTCCGACCAGATTACAAGGAGGTTCGATTGATCGTAAAACCCTAAACCTTGNTTGATATCAAGAGGAGATTACAGAAAGATTCGAGAAAAGAACAAAGGTCGGAGCTTTATGAAAGTCCGACCAGATTACAAGGAGGTTCGATTGATCGTAAAACCCTAAACCTTGCCGTCAGAGTTCTTGTAGTAATTTGCGGATCCTTTTCTCTTTCCCCCATCGTGCTCTTTTATACTTCCTCCTCCATCTCGTGGCTTGTTCGCCCTAAAACTCGTCTAAAAAGGCCCGTAGGCCGATTTCGTGCTTGGTGGGCTTTGGGCTTGCGATAATCACAGAATCGGATCCGGTTCAATCAATCGACCGGTTATTGAGGCAAACCGGTCGTTCGACCTTCGGGTTCGTCATCTCTGTCGATCGAATCGTCCTCAAATGGGCCGAAGCCTGTTATTCGATGGGCCTTGTAGGGATGTCCAATTCCCCTCCAACAGTAAGCCCCCCCCCAAGCCCGGTTGCAGGTAGTTCGGTTTCCTGGAAGCGGGGCGAAAGAAATTGGTCCTGAGAATGGCAGGCTTAAGTCTCATTGACTACATATATGCTTAATTCCGCTCGATCGATCGCCCTCGGCTTTGTTTTCGGGCGAGAAACCCATCCCTTCGGTGGAAAAGTAATGGGTTTTGAGGCCCATTGGGTTTAATAATTACTCAGACCTCGATCTCCGTAAGTTTTCTTATAAATACAATGTTCTCCTCTCTTTTCTTTACTCTTCTTCACTCTTCAGGTATCTTCCCTTTCTCCCTCATCTCTTTCTTCATTTCTATTTTTTTGTTTTTCTAAAAGAAAAAGCTTTCGCTCGTCGCCGGAACTGTTTCACTCCGATTTGCCGCCTTTGCTCTCTTAAAGTAGACCTGGCGATTAACACCCGGCCGGCCGATCGATGAGCATTCCCAAGAAAAAGGCGACGGCGGCGGAGAAGGGTAAGGGAGTTCGATCTACTCCAAGCCCATCGAGGATGCTGCCGGTTGACTTCGATTCTCAGATCCTTTCTTCCAGAGTTCCTCGCGGTACCTTGATTGATGATGCTCACCCAGATTTTGGTCGGAAGGATAATGATGGCGGCTCTTCTCGAGGGGATGGGAGCGGACGTTGTTTAGCCGACGACGCGGAGATGGGCGAATCGGGGGATTCGGGAGATGATTTCTCGGTGGGGAGTGGAAGTATGCGGTCTTCGATTGGTATTGAGGCCGAGAGATTCGTCGCCCCTCCTCCGGGGGATTCGGAGAACGACATCGCTGTAGGGAACGAGGCCGATCGATTTTCTCTCGGAATTGAAGAAGCCGAGCGACCTCCGGTTGGTGCGGGTGGTTCCGTAGCTGGATGTGAGATTGAGCGATGCACGACTGAATCTGGTGAAGTTGGGCGATCCTGCGGGAAGTCGATCGCTCGGCGATCAATCCCTTTCTATTATCATAAGAACGGTGTGATCGAGCAACTCCCGGATATTCCTTTGGATCAAGTTCGGCCGTCAATAATACGGGGACAGGATTGGAGCGATGTATCGCCGACATGGTCTACTGAGAAGGGGGTTGCCGATTTGCTAAGGGGACGTAAAGCCTATGGCGTCACTTTTATCGTTCCGCGCCCCGATCAGCGTCCGTGGACTCCACCTATGGGTTTTCATTGCGTCTATGAGTCTTTTTTGAAAAAGATTCGAAGTTATGGTTTCCTATCCCTCGCTTGGTTACTGCGTATTGTACGCGTCGAGATGTTCCCATGTCGCAGCTGATGAACGGGGTAATGAGAATGGCTGTCGCCCTTATGGTAATGGCGGCAGAAGTCGATGTTTCGATGAGCGTTCGGATATTTGAGGAGCTGACGCAGATACAGCCGAAACCGTGTGGCTTGTACGCACTGCAAATGCGCGCGGGTTTACACATCTTGACCGGCCATCCCACGAAGACTAAGTTTTGGCAGCGTTCTTATTTCTACATTAAGTCTGACGAAGCTGCTTTTGAGGAGCCCTCAGATGACCGTTGTCGTACTTTATGGAATTTTGATATTGGTAGTTTAGCACTTCTAGGGTTGGAGACTTGATCGTTGGAACATGCTACTGATGCTATGTGTTTTTTTTTTGGCAGTTTCTCATCCCAATTCCATCGATTATCCCGAGCGATTTTGGGAAGGGGTCACGAAGGTTGCTGCGCTTAATCCGAATAAGTGGGAGGACTTCGACCGGAGAAGAATTCGTCGGCAACGCGGTCGAATTTCGCAAGGTAATATCTTCTTATCCCTTTATCTCTTCTTTTCTTCTTCGATTCTCCTTCTCATTCCATTCATTGTTGTTGTCGGCCTTGAGGTTTCTGTGATGGTCGATCGATTGATTTATATGGTTATCCTGACTCTCGATCGCTTTTGTTTGTTTTAGTTGATTGGGCGTCGGATATTCCTTGTGAAGAGCTTAAGGGCAAGAGGTTACCGCTTCCACTGATGGGAAAAATTCCGCGAGTGTATCCTAATTTCAGTGAGCTCTTGGACTCTCAACTGGGCGATGAGAATTTTGACCCTGCTGCAGCGTTGGAGGCGGAGAACGAGAAGGTCAGGGGTTCGCACAATGAGGGAGACGATCCACCGGTAGGAGATTCAGCGGTAGATGAGGAAGTTGATCGTGATACTGATGCTGTCTCAAAGAAGAAAAGGAGGAAGATCAGGTCGTCTAAGAGAGCAAAGGCCGATTCTTCGGAGGTGGAGGTTGCCGCGGCTGAAGTTACTCATGAGGATCCCTCGGGTGGTGCTTCCGGAGGGGATCATGAGGTTGCGGAGGTAACGGGTTCTGAGAGTTTACCAAAGGGCTCGATTGACGAGGATCGCACTAATCCACCAGCAGCGAAGAAGAAGAAGAGGTCGATCGATGATCGTCCTAACGATTCCGGGAGTAAGCGGTCGAAGGATGACGACAGACGTCCTGCTCCTCCTCCTAAGGAAGCTGCAGTGCCAGTCTCTCGTAACCTTCCTTGGGGTGGATCGGATCCGCCAAGCGGGAAGCCTCCGTTGGCCCAATCAGAGCGTTGGAG